GGACGGATCGGACGGCATCTGCAGCCACTTTCTTAGGATCCACTGTGAGATGGACCTTTACAAGAGATCCTTCCTGCCTACAGCCATCAGCATCTATAACAACTCTTATTGAAATGAGGATAACAAGTTACAACAACAAAAAATTTCCATTTGGGATTAATAAATTATTTTTGAATTGAATTCAATATATATGCATGCACACACCTTTGTATACAGAAAGCCCCCTGTTCACACAAATTTTTGTCCCCGTCATTTGTCTTGGGGAACTCTATTCATTTCCACTCATTTTTTAGGAGCAATGGAGATATGCCAGATTACAAGAAAGGGTGTTGTGTAAAAAGATAGAAGATGCCAAAACACAGCAGTGCTCCCCGTCACCACTGGTTCGCAGGTAGATTTTTGAAAACTGTGCCGTAAAATTTTGTTAATAGTTTAAACCTTTTGGGTCTACTCCTTCCAGTAACTATCAATAGATTGAGCCCAAATACAGTTTTTTAGAACAAGTAGTTTTTGAGAAGCGTTAAATTAAATAAAGTCAGAAACCACTGGTTGATTCTAATTACACATCAGTACAGTACACAAACTGGACAAGAAAAAGGCAAATTGGTAACTACAAATAGTTGATAATAGGAGTCAGTGCACCTAGGTTTGAATGATGCACCATCTACAGGTGGAAAAGAATAGGTACAGCCGTCTAAGAGATAGATGCTGGTTGTACCTCGTCATCGCTGATGAAGCCCTTGTGCATGATGAAGTAAAGGTGCACCAAGAAATCACTGTTAGGAAGCACATCTTGGTGTCTGGTCATCATCTCACAGATCAGCTTGTAGGCCTGCAGTTTGCCATCCTTGTACTCTGCTGGCAGCATGGTCGCCTGCAGATGAAAGACACTGAGATCAGAACAAATCTACCAAATCCTTTATTCATGCAAAAGGAAACTCATTTCAAAATGAACAATACATGTGTGAAAACTGCAGCTACATTTTACATTTATGTGTAAATTAACACACCAATGGTAAATAAGTCTGGTTACTAACTTATTGCTGTTGCTACATATGTAATAATAAAATTTGGGAAACTTTACATTTTAACTAATTAAGAGTCATGCTTTATCCCACATTGTACTACTTTTTTATTTCAATGTTATATAATGATTAATTAATGATATATTAAAAAAAGCACCAAGTTAATTTCTTGTTTCCATATGTACACTTTACTTTTTATACTGTGCAGGAGCTACATTTACTTACCGGTAGTTTCATTACAGGATCAAAGAAAGTATCTAGACTCAACCATATATTTCAGTATAGAATTGTCCAAAGGCACAGGAAGCTTTTGTCGTTTTAAAAAGCTGATGGAGGTACCTCAAGTATGTTAAACTGAACTATTTTTGTATTTAATTTACCTTTTTAAAACATGACATGCCTTAATTTATGCCCTAAAGTCCCTTAAATGTAATAGAAAGTGATTAACTTTACATTCAATCTTATAATTTAATCTCAACTTGAATGCCATATAATCATAAATAAATAAGGATTTATCTTTGTAAGGTTTTTGTTGCTTGCTGTGTTCATGTGTGCTTCATACCCTGAAGAGCCAGGATGAAAGCATTCGAAGAGGAGGGATGAATAATGGTTGGGGAGGAGAGGACTGATTATCCACACTGATCCCAAGGTTGTCTCGGATCTGTAAGCACATATTTATTTAGCTGATAAACACAAGAGTCATCAAATCTTTGTGGAATTTATACACATTAAAGTACAGGATAAAAACCTCCATTCTAAAGTGCAGTAAATGATCAAAATTGTTTTTTTTTTTTAATCAAAACACCTGTGATAGTCATAAATATAACAAAAAAGCAATTATCATTTGAAAAGAAGTCCTACATATTATTTTCATTTACGTGGATATATGTGTATATTTTTGGTCTCACAAATGGGATGTTTGACTCTTTTCTGTACCTTGGCCAGTTTGTGCCAGAGTTCATAGAGGTAGGAGAAAACCTTGGCGTGGATTTTGGGGCATCGGATATTGTTGACATCTCCCAATATGCCCAAAATTCTCCTCCACAGGACAAAGGCAGAATCAGGATGCCAGCCAGTCAGGGTCCCTCCAGCAATGATGCTGACATCATCAGCGAGACACTCACTACTGTCTGCAGGATTAGAGTGTTTTGGTTTAGGTTAGCATGTGTGACTGTGTGTGTGTGTTGTATATGAACTTGACATATCAAAGCAGTCATTTTACTGAGGAGGCTGGATTCAGTCAACAAATGCAAACTAACTCCTATTAAAGCATTTTGAATATCTGAATTTGAGACTTGCCTGAAAAGAACAGTTTAACAAATGTATTCAGTCATCAAATTATAGCTTGAGCACTTGTTGACTAAATCTCAAAAACTCTGTGCTTTTCCCAAATCATTTCAGGAATTAGGATTTTAAAAACGTGTGGGAAAAAAAAAGTGAAACAGTTTGGGGGAGTGAAAAAAAAGGCACAAAAACTCATGCATCATTCCAATAACATGTGATAGAAGAGTGCCACCTAGCGGGCAGGAAAAATGGAAACCAAAGAAAGTAAAGACCTTTTTTTTTTTTTTTTCAAACTGATTTGAGAACTAAATTATTTTTGGGTTTGTTTAAAGAGGAACAAACATTTAGTGGTGGATACATGGATAGTAGTCAAGTACTCAGCAACCTCAGAATAAATAAGTTACAGAAAATGAAAAGATATTTAATTCATGAATTTAACAGGATTGCACACTAAAGAATAGTATAAAGTAAGAAATAAATCATGGAAAGGTTGACATAAAGAGAATGGAAAGTAAACAAGGTAGGTTTATATGATAAGTAACAGCTAGGCCGTGGTACCCAAGTGGTGTGTCATATGTAAGACAGACTGATGCATGGTGTCATCCAGGGGGTACTCTGTGTGAACCAGCAGGGCTGGCGAAGAAGGGGGGTTCTGGGGGTAGTGACAGTGGTAATTTTGGTGAAGGTAGGGAGGTGCAGAGTGGGGAGGTAAGGCACAATCAGAACCTAAAAAAAAAAACGACAAGGGGAAAATAATAAAATTGGGTTTGAGGTAGGGACACGAACACAATCACAATGCAGAAAACACAAACATTAACATGCAAGAATGTGAAGGGCAGACATTTTATTCATACACAATGATGACCTTTTAAAAAAATATATATTTTTATCCTTTGTTTTTACTTTTCTGTTTTAATTCGTTTGTGGTGTAAAGCATTTGTATAGGATCAGGACATACAGGATGTGCATTTGTGCTTCACAAATAAATTTGGACTGTAGGAGAAACCTAAAAGCTTAATGGTTTTAAAGCTAGAGATATGCGTAAATGTTTTTAACCAATAAAAATATACTGGATTATAATGAGCTCTTTTAAAATATTGAATATCTCAGAAATATAAGTAAAATGGCAGAAATTGTCCCACCTTTGCTTGACCACAACCAGTTCATTCACAAAAAGTGAGATTACAGGAAGCATCAAAATGAGCTGGATTCAACACTCCTCAGATACATTTGCAAAAACTGCAACAATTACCTATTTATTAAATGGTTACCAAGGACTTTTATTTATATACATTGTGTTCTGTTGCACATTATAGTTTTTTAAACCAGCTTAATGCACCAGCCTCATCTCAGGTACCCTGCCAGATATCTGCATTACCAGTTAGCCCAAACTGAGAATAAAGTCAGATTTAATTACAGTATAAAATAGGGATGCACAATATTATCGGCATGGTATCGTTATCGGCTGATATTAGCGATAAAATTAAATATTGAACATCTGCCATCCCATCAAAATAACTCACTGATATAAAAGGTGCAGTTTTTTTTATACAATTGTATATTTATATAGTGTTGCATCATTTTCAGCCCCCTTTTTGGCATCTGCATTTGGTAGCAGGCCAAACTGACAAAGACCACGCAGAATAATGTAGTATTTTAATTCCACAGCAGAAAAAGCTATGTAGTCTCTGTAAGTAGGTCTAGGGAAAAAATAATATTGGTATTGGTTATTAGCCAAATAAGTTTTAATGTATCAGAATATCGGATTTCGACCAACAATCCAATATCGTGCATCCTTAGTACAAGATATTTTTTAAGTGCACAATTGGACTTCTTATCCCCTCCCATACCTGCTAGAGCCTCATTGTGGCTGAGCAGCAGATTGCCCTGGCTCTGTGGATCAGCTGTAACATCCATGTGAGCAGACTGTGTAGAATGTGTGTCAGCCTCCTCGTCAAATGCCTGCCAGGTAACTTCAGCTTCGTTGAGGTAGCCATTGGATGTCTCACTGCTCACACTTTCACCTAGGCAAGGAGGGAAAAACCCAATTTATAACACACACAGACATGTATGGAATGAAAAGTATTTGATGTGTAGGGAGAATCGGCGCAAGTTTATTCAGCGTTAAGCTTAACTAATAAATTTAAAATGTCAAAACTAATATTCTTAATAAGGATGTGTATTCAATTACAACAAACCAACACAACAATCATCTTTTTAAAGAAACAAATCTGTTATTTGTTACTTTTTTCCCTGAGCTTGTGTTTGATGAAGTTTGTGTGTCCGTCAGTGCTGCTCTCCGTCTCAGCTGGACTGCTGCTCCGTCGAATGAAGATCTAGAAATGCGCCCACAAATGTATAAAAAATAAACTTGCATAGAGAATTTTATTTCTTTAATTTAACACAACATGAATCCGTACGACTATTACCATAGGGGGCTCGTTGCTCTCCGTTTTGCCGTCAGACGTCCTGCTGTCAGAACCACAAGAAATAGGGGAGTACTCTCTCTTTTGATCTGTAAGGTGAAACGGGATGTCACATAGAAACATTTGATATGAAAAATGATTTAAATTTAATATGAAAATTCACTTTTTAATCTAATATAATCTACAATATAGCAATAGTTTGAAAACAATTATAACATGATAAAATCACAGCCCCTCTCTGTACATAAAAAAAGTTGTGTTTAAATGATGTTTATGTTTTAAAAGACAAGCATCTAGCAGTAAGTATTGTTAATGTTTTAATTGTGGGGCAAGTTTTTGTTCTGGCTCATTTTTTTATATTTCCATACTTATTTCTGTTAAAGTCTCATATTTGCTCTGTAAAGCATTTTTGACTTACACTTTTACTGAATCCTATATGAATTTAGTTGAGACATTTTATTTATTTTTTGACAAAACTGCACAATATTTATCCCTCCAACTAATCTAATGAGTTTGTCTACGACTACTTTAATATCTCTATCATCCCTAAAACCCATAATAATTATCAGTGTAAACAGAAACTGAACATAAAACTATTTAAGATTGATTTATTACCAAGGCTCCGTGCAATTTGAAACCGTAATTTTTATATTGGCAACCTAACGGACAAATTACATTATTATTTTCTTTCAGCTGCTCCCTTTTGCAGAGGCTACTGCAGTGAGTGACTCAGATTAAATATTTGTCAGGATTTCTCAGGATTACCAAACCATCCATTGACTGCAGCCTACTAACAAATTACTTCACATAAAGAGAGAGAAAAAAAAAGCTAAATAGTTTCTTGACAGAATGTGGAAGGTGTAATTCTAATAAAGTTGGATGATGTGTGAGGCATCCATTTTTGTGTTTCAGTATACCAGGTAAAGTGTCAGACAGCTGCTGAGTGATGTCTGAGGTGCTGCTGCTACGTGGCAGAGGACTCTCCCCGCCTCCCAGCTCCTCTTCACCCCCGCATTCCGACAGCTGACACTCCTCCAGATCTGACAAAGAAAACCATGATTAGATTGTGCTACAAGACCGATATAATATATAATAATGCAATGCTTAAACTGGAGACACACTGAAATATGAGTTGTGTTATTATTTGCAGACATTCCAGATGAAAAACTGACATTTATGAAAAGATGGGGTAAACATGCAGTGGTAATACATACTCTTGACACACTAGTGTTATTTACATCATATATTTTACAGCATACAATTCACAAAAGAAAGCCAAATTTAAAGCTAAAACTGTCACAACAATCACTGAAAATGGTGATAGAAGATGGCTTTTAGATGCAGGGTGGAGTTCAAAATCACACAAATACATGCAGCTCTCGATAAGAACTTTACCTGAGAGTCTATGAGAACAAGCAGAGCTACCAGAAGAGATACCAGGCAAGAAAGAGCTCACAGTGTGGAGCAGCATAGGAACACTTTTAGTAGCGGGCAAAGCCTCGTAAAGATGGACACAGTTGCTGATGGACTGGCTTCGCTTAGCTTCCATCAGGCAAAGACAAAGACAGAAAAGAGACAACGAAAATAGCACAGAGGTAAATGGAAGAAGACAGTCTTCAGTGCAAGTGGAACATAATTTGCTATTTATCTATAAACATTTAATTTAAAAAGTGAAGGAAATTAAATATAGCTGAACAAAAAAATTAACTATAATGTAGTCAGGATAGTCTGAAGAAAAAAAAGAGGACAAAAACAGAGCTAAGATTGAGTTAATTTATAAAAATAAAAGGATATAATACAAAACTCAGAATAAAACTAAGTAAATTGTGAACTCACAACAGTAAAATAATGTTAATGGCTACACTGATACAATCTTAAAACATAGTCGTAGATCAAACCTTGAATACTGTACGATAGTAAAAAGATGTACTTAATAAAGAATCTTAAGTTTGACACAGAAATAAATAACAGTAAAACAAAGCAAAGTTGGTACTTCACTTAAATAAAGTCAAATTGTGGAGATTACAGACAAAACTGGATTTAAACTCTCAAATACAATATGAACTGTACACATAAAGACTCACAAGGATAACAACAATATGAATTGATATATAAAAACAGTTCTATATTAATCTACCAAGTAGTTAATTTTAAGAATGAATCACAAATCTTTCATGTACAGTGACTTGGAAAGTTTTACTGCATCTTCTTTTATGTACCAACAGACTAACATACGAATATGTGCAATAAAGTTATATTAGTGCAGTATGCATTTTGTGGTCAAACTTAATTAGTTAGACTGTCTTAAAATATAAAATAAAAATTCCTATAGCACAAGACACTAAAATTAAAACACTAAAAGTTTGATTTTTCTTAACAATGCGGACCAACCACAATATTTGATTAATTCAGACCTTACCATGAAATATATTATTTTATTTATAAGATTAGTACATCTTGTCATTACTTTTAGACAAATTGCTGTATTACTGTAAAAATAACTACATGTTCAAACCTATAGACACGTTTGGTTTTATTTTAAATAACATCCAAGTAAAGGCAAAGAGAGCTTGTTCACTTGGATCTTTGCAGCTGTATAGTCTTAATGAGCACCGTAATTGAATACTGAGCTCTTTTCTGTTCATAAAGACATGATCTCACAACAATAACACCATTTATTTGCATGTGTAAGAGTAACCAAGTTTTGACAGTTGTCAATGCTGATGCATTGCCATTGTGTCTGAACAGCACTTCAGGCTTAGTCTCATAGAGACCACTGAAAAAGGATGCTTCTCTTCTCCGCTTTCAGCACACTTTAATTACGCCTTTCAGTAAGAGCGATACGTCGTATCTGCCACTGGCTGCCACTGCTTCTCATTTATGCATATTAATAAGCATTAATTACGCTCTTAATGAAACTATCAAAAACTGCCGTGCAATTGATGCGTGGGCTTTCTCTTGAGGAGCAGAGAGAAGGGCTGTTGGTCCTTTGAAGATCAATGTAGGAGAAATCCAATTAGGCTAAAGAAAGGAGGAGAATCTGAAGCGCTTGCCTTTAATGTCCATCTTTGCTTGCAAAGCAATACGAATAAACAAGCTAACAGAACGGATGCATAAACATGCACGTAAGGGACATAATAGATGTGTCAGCATACACGCATACAAACACCCACAGACTTCATTCATTAGGCACAAACACAGTTGTTCCTTGCTTAACAAGCTTGTAATTGTAGAATATTATTGGTACATTATGTAGATGTAAAGTCAGTAAACAAAATGGACACATCTTGTTTTTTTATTATCTGAATAAAGATTGTTTTAAGGGGAAAAAAAAGTCATTATGGCAACTTAATATATTGCCTTTCCAGGTCAACCTATATTTAACCTCTCACTTCCCCATCAGATAAAGGCTGTTTGCAGTGCTGGCTTTTGACATGCTGTAGAGTGAATTGTGTCGCACGCCTGCAATCAAGCTGACAAGGAATTTGTTGACACTGGCAATATGTAAAAGGCAACAATGAAGGCCATCTGCTCGCCTTTTTGTCTAGTGTTTGGCCTTTCAGTGGCACCTGGGCTAGTGTACACATCGACCCATCGACCCTGTGGTCTGAAGCTGTGCTCCAAAAGCCAGTTTTTATATTAGACACACAGTTACATGAATCATCTGATGGTAAAGCTAATAAAACTATAATGTTACTGACCAGAGGCTTTCTGTCGGACGTTGTTGCGAGCCTTCTCCACACCAGGAGCTCCTGAAGTTGTGGCTGAGCGAATTCTCATGGGTTCTTGGGCTCCTGGCCCACCCTGTTCCCCCTGGTTCCTCCAGCTCAGTGAAAAAGAACGAGCAACTGCAGCTGCCTTCTGGGAGTCCTGGATCACTCCTGACAAACAAAAACAGAGAGTTTCAGAAAGCTGCTTGTGAATGCTTTATGATTGGCTGTGAGAACTGAGACTTAGAAACAAGGAATTTATTTACCAGAAAAAAAACAATCTTTAATTTATATCAGAGATTAAAATTTTCATCTCTAAGTACTTTTTTCTTCTGTATAGTCATAAAGTACTTTTACAGATTTTGCCCATACAAATACACAATATTGGATCGTTTTTAAAGTTGCTGCAAATATTTGTTAGTTTATCTTAAAAAGTAAATCCAGCTGCTTGGGTATTTTTAATCTTTTGTCCTCTTCACTGCCATCACCGTAGTAGTTTACAACAGGCCTCCAGACAGACCTTGAACTTTGTGACCATGCACCTTGACATGGCACACTTCGTAAAAAAAACTCTCAATCAAAAGGTCACACTAGGGCAAGCTTGGCCCCCAAAAAAAAGTACAAACACAATTGTGCTGTTTAATAAATAAGTACCGGTAAACTGAAAATAAATGATAAAAAATAAAGAAAATCTAAATTTCTTCTGCTCACCACGAGAGGGTGCTCCAATAATTCAGTAGTAAATGTGGTAATCGTTTGCAAACCATAAACTAGTGTAGTATGGAGTACAATAAAAGTTGATTCAATTTAAAAGGAATTTTTGGTTTATTCAATAATTCTTAAGTTTTATTAAGAAAACTTTAAAAAAAAAAATCATTATAGAGGCTTGTTGAGGCTTTCAAAATCTGTTTAAAAAAATAAATAAATAAAGTTATGAGTAGCAGTAAGTTCATTGAATCGGCATTAGCCTGAAAGTATTACAGTGACTTTTTATTCTACAAACCATCACTGGTAGGACCAAAAATGATGGTTCAGTGGACATTTAATTTTTTTAGTTTGTTTTACACATTTTGGTATTATTCATGTTAGTTTCAGGCTAATTTATGCCAACTTGACATTTAAAAGTATCACAATTGCCATTTTGATTTACACTTTACACTATAACAATGTAGCAACCAATCCTGATAAAAAAGTATCAATTGTATGTTTGATGAGTTAAGAACTTCAATTTACTGATACATTGAACCAAATCAGACTGTGAACTGAAAGAAACAAACAAAAATTGCCATAATAAACAATACAAAAATTACACAAAAACTAAAATACAAACACATCACTTTCAAAAACAACATTTTTTATCCCACCAAAATACTCGAACATGTTTATTCAGTTTTTCCTCTTACCACGTCCTCTCTGCTTCTTTTCTTTCTGTTCACTGAGTTTGTCCAAAGGCAGGTTGGCCATGTCCAAACAATAAACAGAGCGTGCCAGCACAGCCGTCAGCGAGTCCATGATGCTGGCCCACTCAGTCACCAGCTCTTCCCAGCAGGTAAGAGAAGAAAGCACTGCCAGAAGCTCGTCCCAAAGCTCTCGAGAAATAAATACACAGAGGTTTGCTCGCACCCACGCCACAATAATCGTCTGAATGCAGAGAGAGGAGAGACAAATTGACAGAAACTTAGGGCAACAAAAGGAAGTTCCAGATTCTGAACAAATGTGAACAAATGAATCTTAAAAACAAAAAAATAATCAAGTTCCAAATATTTTTTTTAACAAAGAGCTGCACTCTTTTTGTTCCAATAATAAAACTATAAACAACAAATCTAATGTAAGTACACCCTCATAAAGATGAACATGCACACAAGAAGGATGTAGGTTAAAAGCATGACCACCAGAGGGCAACACAGAGCAAGTTATGATGATATAATTATAAATTACTTTCTGCATTTGTCATATTTCAGAATACATATTAAAATAAAACTGGTGATTCTCAAATAAAACTAAAATTAGGTAAATACAACCTCAGAAATATAAACTCACCACATATGTGTCATTATTTTACCAAACAATTAATACCTTGGTACATCAAATTATAATAAAATGTAACTCATTTTAGGACTATGTCAAATTTTATCATATACTGAAGTGCAAAATTTATTTAATGATTAAATTTAAAACATCAAAGTTTTCCAGTTTTTTATGTAATCGAGTGACTCATCTCCTTACAAAAGTTGCTATTTGTTTTTCTCCAGTAAATTTTAAATGCATCTTATCCAAACTTATCATCTCAAGTGAAAAAAAAGTTTAGTCATACCCTAAAAAGTAAGGAAGCTAAACTTTCAGCAAAACTGTCTTTTCTTTGGTTTTCATGTGGCCGCTTCATTACAGCCTCTGTGATCCTCAGTAGCACTTGCAGCATCTGTTCCCTGGAAAACAAAGTGTCGAAAAAAAAGAACAAAACTTAAAACAACTAAAATTTGCCATCAGAACAAATTTGGCAATCATAAAGGAGATAAGTATGAGAACTCCTGAAAGTAACATAATAAATAATGTGTGTTTATGTAACATTTTACTAACCATGTCTGCATACTCATGCTGTGCTCCATAATCATGTGCCGGTAGATGCTGAGAACATTCTTGCACACCTCAACTTGGTTTTCGAGGAGTTTAGGTACATCGTGGCATGGCTCCAACAGGAACACGTTAGACGAGTTGGTCAGGAACACCTACACACATGAAATAAGAGTAAGCAAACTAGAAACAGAATAAATATATGGTGAACTACATACAGTATGTAGACAGACCTGTAGTGTAGGCTGGATGCCAGCCTTGATGTCCCTGTTCTCCTCCTCAGTAAGAAAGCCCCTATTGATGGCACTGCTGAATGAGTAGGTCCTCCCCCAGCTGGATGATCGTTTGTGACCGTGACTCTCCAAAGTCTTATAGAGAGAAAAAAAAAGACAGGCCAGTCAAAACATAAGCTAAGACACATATTATATAAAAAATACAAAACTAAAGTATTCATGGTTTGGCTTATGACACAAACGGTAATGAGGAACAAATGAAAATGTGTAATATGGGTAACCGAGTCTCATTTGCAACATTTGTATTAAAGTATTGCACATATAAGTGATTTTCTATTTAATAATACATAATTTACGGTATGCAACAATGAATCCACTTTATGGCTGCACAGTCTCTTACTGTGGGTTTTACTTGTACATGTATGTTGTTAGTCTCTGAGCTGAGAGTCTGCTCAGAGCCATCATCCACTTCATCTTCTGGTGTCGTTTGGTCAGGCTCTGTCATGAAGGTGGGTTTCTCCTGCAGGATCCACTTTCTGTACACTTTGATCACCTTCCTGGTTGCTGAAGCTTCACAAGATGGCAACAGGAAAGCCTTTGGAATGGGACAATTAACTTAATTAATTGTGTGAATGCTCATAAATGAGAAGGGTGGTATGATTTTTGGTATTGGTGCAACTTTAGCTTTTTGAAATGTTTAGCCTTTTCTGCCTTTTTTTTCCCACATAGAAAATGAATTGAGCTCATTTACATCCTTCATATATTCAGATCTGTTTACAACCTTTTACTGCTCCTTTCACCTTTTGTTATGGTTAAGTTTCCTTCAGCCTCCTTGTGCCAATTTTAAAGAAAATTCAGCTACTTTCAGCTGTTTTGTGCTCATTTCAACTTTATGTCTCTAACTTAACATTTTTCTGCTTCTTCTAACTTATTAATGTAAACTTCAACTTGTTCTGCTCCTTTCAGCTTATTTCTGCAAGTTTCAGCTATTTCAGCTACTTTTTAGCTGTTTTATGCTAATTTAAGCTTTTTCAGCAAATTCCACATTTTTTGCACTCATTTAAACTTTTTTCAGCCTAATTCAGAAAAATTGTGCTCTCTGCACTTCTTTCTGCTAATTTAAGCTTCTTTCTGCTTTTTAGCTACTATTCAGCAGTCTTTTTTTTTTTTTGCCTATTTCAGCTTTTTAAAGATAATTTCCATTTTTCTGTGCTCATTTCTGCTTCTTACAGTCTAATTGGGCACAATGGTGCTCTCTCCACTTTCTTCTGGTACTCTAAGCTTCTTTCTGCCGTTTCAGCTACTTTTCAGCTATTTCTTGCAAATTTTTGCATTTTTAACTAATTTACCAATTTTTGTGCTAATTTCTGCTTATTTAAACCAAATTCAGCAAATATGTGTTCTTTCTGCTTTCTTCTGCTAACTTAGGCTTGTGCTTCCTTTTCAGCTATAATTCAGCATGTTTTTTTAGCTAATTTCAGCTGTTTTTCAGCAAGTTCTTCAGCAATAAGCATTCACAACACATTTTTGCAGGAAATTCAATTTCTCTAATTTAATTAAATGTTAGTTTAACAAGTGTGTGGAGTAGTCATAAAGATGAGGGAATATTGGTTAAAAGAAAAACCACAAAGGGCGACACAGTACACGTTACAGTGGTATAATAAGATAATTGCTGCATTCATGAAATATTAAGTTTACATAAATATACAGTAGTATAAAAAACTTATTTATATAGATGTAAACTGTAACTTGGGAACCATACTGTACCTGATGGAAGACCTCGTTGACAAAATTGACATTGTCCCTGGTGGACAGCAGAATGGAGAGCACCATGTCATACACATGTTTGTGCTCCTCATCAATGCTACACAAACTGGAATCACTCGGTCGTCGATCAGACAACGTGCTGCTGTTGGAGTGGCTCTTTTCAGTGTCTTCTGCTGGCCCGGTTGTATCCACATCAGATGTCTTATCTTTCTCCTTCTCCTGGCTGCTACTGCCTGCAGTGACAGTCTGACAAGGAGACAGCGTTAGAGGGCACTAAATAAGCCAATGTTCACCACAGGAAATGCTCCCCAAAATTAAACAACTGCTCATAAGAATTTAATTTCCAGTGTTCATCTACTCCCCCAGTGGAGGCTGAACTATTGCATTAATCGTTCCTTAAAAAAAATGTTTAATGCATATAGACTTTTACTTTTTTCCCCATGTTTTCTTAGAAAAATTGAATCCACTGAGACAAAAAACTAAGCAATCATAAAGTCCTAGTGCTGTAAAATAATTTTGTGGTTTTACTTTGTATGTGTTGAACTGTAGACTATTAAAAAAATGATCTTACTTTGCATGTCACAATTGATATAAATAGCTAAAAATGTACTCCATCTTCACTACGATACAACTACATACAGTTTAGAATACTGTTGCAAAAACATCAAAATAACTTCAAAAAAGGTTGAATCATGTCATCTGGACTTCGTTTTTTTGTTAAAAAGATACGTTTCGCCCCTCATCCAAGAGGCTTCGTCAGTCTGAGGCCTAGCCATCTGGTATTACCCAGAAGCCACCCTGACTCTTGTGTTTCAAGCCTGCCTCAGATACCCCTGAAATCTGGGTAATACCAGATGGCTAGGCCTCAGACTGACGAAGCCTCTTG